GGAAGCAGAAGTCACGGTGGGAGCTGCCTATGCCGGGCATGGGTCGGAGTGTGTCTCCCAGGCTTCGCTGCTGAGGGGTTAGCCTCACAGATTCCCTCTGGGAAAGCCATTTAAGAGTCATTCTGAATGCATCTACTGGGGATGGGGAAGAAACGATGCAGAATGTTGACCCACTGGGTAGCAGGTTTGAAATCCTGCCTGAACCAAACTGTGCTGAGGGGCTGTCCCAAACAGATGGTGCTATCCAGACAGACACACTTGCAGGGCCACTGTGCCTGAAGCCAGCCGGCAAACGATCCTCCCTACACCACCTTCTTGGAAATCTTGATTATGGGGGATATCGGGGTGGGGAGGGGCAACCCTTGGTATCGGGGTGGGGAGGGACAAAACATTTCCTCACTGAACTCTCATTTTCAGACAATGAAGGATTGTCTGGAGAGATAGCCAATCTGTGGCCAACAATCGTCACTCCAGAGCCCTGCCCCATCTAGGGCGCACGTGCATGCCTCTAAATTTCCTCCCCTCTCCTTGGTCCAACCACAGTCCAGGAAAGCAGATTTTCTATGCTCCATGGCAATCACAGTGGAAAATGGAAGTACAACGGAGTGCTGTACCTACCCAAGCACCAGGAGGCAGGAGCCGAGCTACTCACAGACTCCCTAGAGGAGAACCCCACGCACCCAAACTCTGCTGTGCCCCCTCTGAGCTCTGAACATGCCAGGCGAGGCCTCTCCCTCTCTCTCTCCCTCCATCCCAGCTCTTTGGAGAGAATGCAAGCAGCCCGCATGACCAGACGGAGCCTTCTTTGCTAATAAACCCTCCTGAGGCTGTGACATGTTTCAGAAGGAGCAGAAAATTACCTTTTAGGAAGCCAATGTGAGGGAAGGGGTGGGGGGACAAAGTATCAGAGCCAGGAGGTGCGCACCACAGGAGCCGGGCTGGGGTCGCACAGCAGCCCCCCATCCCTGCAGAGGTCCACTGAGCTCCCCATGCTGCCAGCCTCAGAGGGCCGCCCCCAGCGCACGGCTCTCCCAGCAGCCCATGCCTAGAGACAGAGGACGCTGAGGAGCACGCGTGTCCCCGGGACGGGTGGACGGAGGAGCTGCGAGCCTGGTCAGGGATGCTGGAGGAAGGGAGAAAGGCAGGCCGGAGAGGAAGGGGTGGGGAGTGGAGAGGGAGGGCGGGAAGGAGGGAGAATTGATTTTCTCTCCTCCACTGGGACCACTGAGCTGAGTTGCCATGGAGAAAGGGGAGCCGCTGGCAGAGCCCAAGGCAGGCGGAGGAGCCATATGTCGGAAGGAAGGCATCAGCAGAGAGCCAATCCAACAGTTCTGCTGCTGCAGACTCCCCCATACCAGGCCTCAGGGTTCAGATGGCCAGGCGGGGAGGGGTACTGGCCGGACCAGCGGGCAAAAGCAGCAGCTGGTGGCCACCACGCCAAGGAAAAGGGTGGAGATGGGGGCTTTCTCTCCTGGCCCGTGGTGCTCCGCTGCCCCAAGAGCCTGGGCCCTCCGTCTCATGCCACGCTGCCCAGTCAGAGCCTGAAGTCGGGACCCCAGAGAGTAAAGTGACCCTCTCCCCAGGCTTAGGTGTTACCTGGTGTTTGGGGAGGCATTGCAGATTTCCACCTGCCCAGCCTCCCTGTTTCTAAAACTCTGTTGCCAAATCCTGAGTCATATCTTCCCACCCTCAGGGATGAGGGGATACCCACCTATGGAAGGGCTCTGATGGCCCAGTGCCACCCATGTGGGAAGCAGAGGAGAAGGGAGGCTGCTGGGCACAGCAGGGGGAGGGGGCTCTCCTGGACACACTGGCAGGTGGATGGGAACTCCCAGGCTCCCCATGCTGGGTGGCATCTCCCATCACGCCTGTGCCAGCCTCACTGCTGCAGCTGCCCACGTCCCAGCTTCGATACTGGCTTCAGCCACCTGGCCCCACTCATACTGGGAGAAGTGAAATGGGGCTGGGGAGAGAGCCACGAGACCTCGGTGGGGTCTCAGTCTCTCTCCTTGGAGATCACAGGACCAGGGGCAAGTCTGGTCACTTCTTTGAGCTTCTATCTCCTTATTACAGACAGAGATGCTACCACGTTCTACCAACCGGCACTCCCAGGCACTTAGACAAGGCAGGACTTGGGGAAGGCTCAGGGCAGGCACTAGTGCTGTCCTGGGTCCATCTCAGGAGCTGTGGTCTCCTTAGGGCTGGGAGCACAGTAGCAGCATCCCCCAGCTTCCTATCTCTCCCTGATCAATTGGCAGATCCCTCAGGACTAAGACTCTAGCAGGCTTGCAGCCGGCACCAGAGCCTACCAGACCTGGCTGCCCTGACACAGAGACATCTGAGTTGGGGGGCAGCCCAATCCTGTCACTTTCTCTCTCAGTGTTTTATTTCATTTCTTTTTCTTTTTGAGACAGAGGCTGGAGTGCAGTAGTGTGATCACAGCTCACTGCAACCTCCACATCCCGGGCTCAAAGCAATTCTCCTGCCTCAGCCCAAGTAGCTGGGATTATAGGTGCCCACCACCACGCCCGGCTAATTTTTTGTATTTTTAGTAGAGACAGGTTTCACCATGTTGGCCAGGCTGGTCTTGAACTCCTGACCTCCGGGGATCTGCCCATCTCGGCCTCCCAAAGTACTGGGATTACAGGCATGAGCTACTGTGCCCGGCCTCTCTCTCAGTGTTTTATGATGAAAGTGTTCAAGCATATGGCAAAGTTGAAAACATTTTATAATGAATATCCATATATTCACCATCTAGATTCTACCGCTTCTTCTCACTTTTTTTATTGCAGTAAAATACATATAACACAAAATTTACCATTTTAACCATTTTAAAGTGTTCACTTCAGTGGCATTGAGTATATTCACAATGTTGTACAACCACCACCTCCACCTAGTTCCAGAGTTTCAACAACCCAAAAGGAGACCCATTAGCAGTCTCTCTCCAGTCCCCTCTCCCTCAGGCTCTGTCAACAAAAAATCTACTGTTTGTCTCTATGGATTTGCCTATTCTGGACATTTCATATAAATGGACTCATAAACTACATGGCCTTCTGTGTCTGGCTTCTTTCACTCAGTATCCTGTTTTCAAGGTCCATCCATGTTGTGGCGTGTGTCAGTTCTTCATTCTGTTTTATGACTGAATTGTACCCCAGTACATAGATGGACCACATTCAGCTTATGCATTATCCATCAGCCAATGGACGTGTGACCTGTTTTCACCTTTAGCTATTGTTGTCACATTTTTTGTCTCGCTCTGTTGCCCAGGCTGGAGTGCAGTGGTGTGATTGTAGGTTACTGCAGCCTCAACCTCCTGGATTCAAGTGATCCTCCCGCCTCAGTCTCCTGAGTATCTGGGACTACAGGCCAGGGTCACGCCACTGTGCTCAGCTTCTCACTTTTAAAATGAAGTCTTCAGAGCTCAGTGAAATGTCCTAGAGCCCCTCCTAAGGGATTTGTTCCCAACGTTGCAGGCCCAGAGGCCCCAAAGTGAGTGCTCACCTCACCCTGCCTTTCCACTAAAGCAATGCTCCCCATGGGTGACCAAGTAAGGGAGGCTCCGGCTGGCCCTGGGGCCCAATGCAGAGATCCTAAAAGCCTGTGTGTAGCCCGCAAGTGGGCCTCCAGCCTCCTCCATCCCGTCCCAGGTAAGCAGTCAGCTGGGCAGGGAGAAACATGCATGTGCCAACCCCACACTCATGCTTTGAGACCAAATGAACCCAGTGCCAGGACCACTGGCACTCACTGACTACGTGACTAGCCAGTCATCACCCCTCTCTGAGCTTTAGCTTGTTCAGCTGTGAAATGGGGCAACAATCTCTACCCCATGGGGTTGCTCTAGAGACGAGGCTGGCGCTGCCCAGTAGAACTTTCCCCAGTGACGAACATGTTACACACCTGCGCTGACAGTTACACACCTTACACGACAGTGCAGCCACCGTGACCTGCCACTGTCCCCAGGTGGCTACCGAGCACCTGAAATGTGATGAGTGGGAGAGGGGAATAGAATTTTCCCATTTTATTTCACTTTAATTGACAATTGAACTTAAATAGTCACACGAGACTGGTGGTCAGTTCTAAGGCCTGAAGAGATGACAAGTGTGAAAGGACGCACGGTCCAGGCCCAGGCCTAGCTCCTGGTCTCTTCCCTCAACCCCTCCTCTCCTACTTACCCCACAGTGTCTGGGCAGGGGAGCAGGCTCTGTCCACAGCCCAGCTCCAAAGGCACCTCTAAAAGGACAGAAGGTGGATGGTGGGGCTCTCAGGGAACAGCACAGACACCAACTGGGGAGTGGGCACCATAGACTCCATAATGACGTGGGTCTGGAACCGCAGGCCTCTCCTCTGCCCTGTTCTAGAACCCCCCAACTGCTGTTTCCCCTAGCAACTCTTGAGGTTATCCCTGGAATGTCTGGGCAAGGGCTGTAAAATTGGAACATGTCCCCCCCCAATCCCTCATGTGGTGGCAAAGACCCCTGAGGAGATGTACAGAGGGCCTTGGTTCTCAGCTAGGCTGTGGAGCTAGGCACTCAGGGAAAGCTTCGCATAGCCAAGAAGCTGCTCTCTCAGGCTCCTCTGAAAGGGAGCGTCAGGACAAGAATCCAGACCTGACTGCCACCCAGCCCTCTCACTTTGCAGAGGCAAAAATTCAGACTCAGAAAGGGAAGTAACGGCTGGGCGTGGTGGCTCACACCTGTAATCCCAGCACTTTGGGAGGCTGAGGTGGATCACGGGGTCAGGAGATCGAGACCATCCTGGCTAACACGGTGAAACCCCGTCTCTACTAAGAAATACAAAAAAAAATTAGCCAGGCGTGGTGGTGGGCGTCTGTAGTCCCAGCTACTCGGGAGGCTGAGGCAGGAGAATGGCATGAACCCTGGAGGCGGAGCTTGCAGTGAGCCGAGATCACGCCATTGCACTCCAGCCTGGGCAACAGAGCGAGACTGCGTCTCAAAAAAAAAAAAAAAAAAAAAAAAAAGAAAAGAAAGAAATGGAAGTAACTTCTCCAACAGGGCAGGGTCTGAAGCCCACAGTCCTGACCCCACTGAGCTGGCCCTGCAGGAGCCTCGGGAGCAGACCCAGGGGCAGAGGGCACTGTGCACCCTTGCTGGGTAGGCAAAAGTCTGTCTGCTTCTCTACAGCTGTGTGGCTTCAAAGCCCAGACATCAGGGACTGAAGACTGAGCAAGCCATCCCTCTCTTGTCCCAGACCCACCTGAACCCACCAAAGCTGGGAAAGGAGGGGTAGTGGAGACTCCAGAAAAACAGGAAAAATTTAAACACAACCACTAAGTAAAGCATCGTTAACTCCTGCTGTGCTGAGCCCACATACAGGTAGGAGTCACGCAGAGGTGGGAGCTGCAGCTGAGGATGGGCCTGTACCCCCACCCTGCAAAGCCTTCTCCTGGCTCCCTCAAAAGACTGGCCAGAAGGACCAGGACATGCTCAAAGCCCTGAATGGCCTCTCTCCACCCTCTCAGAGTGAGGGCCTGCAGGCTCCGCCCTGCTACCTCTCTGCCCTGGCAAGGCCGTGGGCAAGTTCCCGCCTTGGGGCATCTGGACTTGCCACTCTCCCTCCCCTCTGGTCAAGGGCCTCTTCTCACTAAGGCCTTCCTTGACACCCTGATGTAAAACTTGGCCCTGACTCTAACCCTGGCATTCCTCTGACCCTTTCTAATTTTCTTCAGAGCGTTGATCGTTATCTGGTACCCGACTTAGTTTTCTTTCTTCTTTCCTTCTTATTTTAAAAATTGTGGTAAAATACATGTAACATAAAATTTACCATCTTAGCCACTTCTTTATTTTTGTTTTTTTGAGACAGAGTCTTGCCCAGGTTAGAGTGCAGTGGCACGATCTTAGCTCACTGCAACCTCTGCCTCCCAGTTCAAGCGATTCTCCTGCCTCAGCCTCCAAGCAGCTGGGATTACGGGCGCCCACCACCATGCCCAGCTAATTTTTATATTTTTAGTAAGACGGGGTTTCACCATGTTGGTCAGGCTGGTCTCAAACTCCTGACCTCAACTGATCCGCCTGCCTTGGCCTCCCAAAGTGCTGGGATTATAGGCGTGGCCACCATGCCTGACCCATCTTAGCTACTCCCAAGTGCACGTTCCATGGCATTAAGCACATTCACATTGTTGTGCAACATCCCCACCATCCTTCTCCAGAACCAACTCACCTTCCTCAACTGAACTCTCTATGCATTCAACACTAACTCCCCATTCCCCCTTCACCAGCCTGTTCTACTATCTGTCACTGTGCATTTGACAACTCTAGGGACCTCATCATATAATCATGGTAAGTGGAATCATATAGTATTTATCCTTTTGTGTCCGGTGTCTTTCACCAAGCATGTCTTATGGGTTCATTCATGTGTTATAGCATGTTCTTTTTAAAATATTGTCTGCCCAGGCACAGTAGCATATGCTTGTAGTCCCAGCTACTGGAGGCTGCGGTGGGAGGATCGTTTGACCCAGGAGTTTGAGTCCAGCCCCCCTGGGCAACATAGCAAGACCCTATCTCTAAAAAAAAAAAACACAAAAAAAGTTTTTCACTGTCTGTCTCTCCTACTAGAATGGAGTCTCTGTGAGGGCAGCGATGTTGGTTGGCTGTATCCTTGGGCTGGAAGAGTACCGGCAAGCAGCAGGCACTGAATAGAATTTCTAAATATACAAACAGATGAACCAATGGATGGATGGATGAATGAAGACTCTGTATAGGTCAGTGCCTCAAATGTCTGTGCCTGGCCTTGAGTTATGTCCCTCATCCCCACTGTAGACTAACTCCTGGTCCCATACTACAGCTTTGGAACTGAAGCCCCAGGCCTACCATCCCTGAGAGGCAGCTGTGCTCAGCGTGGCAGGATGCCCCATTTGACGGTAGGCTTCTCCCAGATGGCTAACTGCTTCAAGTCTTTCCCCCAGTTACATCCCCCAGATGTAACATGTCTATGGGAGAATTATGACATGGGCAGATGAGAGTCCCAGCCATGGAGGTGACAAGGTGCCTTGGAGCCTCACAGGGCAGCAGCCACCAGGAAGAGACATGGAGGCCAGGAAGGTCCTGGAACACCAGAATTCGGCCAACAGAGCCTAAGGCCAGCATGTTGTGGAGGGGAAGCAGCCTGGGGGCATTCGGGAGACCTGGAGATGTGGCAGCTGGCCAGGAGCTGGGCTACAACCTTGACAATCACTAACCTCTCACCTTCTCCTTGTCCTCCCGGGATATTTATAGCCTCCCTCTTTCTGAAAACTCCTTCACCCATTTTTCTGAGCTTAACAAGCTTGGTGAATTGAAGTCAGGTGGACCACCCCCCCAACCTCAGCAAGCCTGCTGGGGTGACTGCACTCAGGCCAGGCTTGCTGACAGCTCCTGCTCCATGACAGGGACCCTTGAGGGCCTGCTGAGAGTCACAGGGTTGGGGTGTCCCCGGGAAGATGGCATCTAAAGAGAAGGCAGCAGCTGGGCACCCAGGCATACCTCAGCCAGAGATGCTGGAGGATGGTGACCCCAGAAGGGTTCAGCTCACCCCAGGCCTCCTCCCTGCTTTAGGAAAAACAAACAGATTGGGACAGTGGAAAAACAGCTGTACCTTTAAATTATCTGGCCCACAGATATGAAAAACATTTGCATGTTGAAGCTGTTTGCATCTTCAGTTATTTTTAGGGTGAACCCAGTTGCCTCCCCTTGGAACCGGATGAAGCCCCAGAGGCACGTAGTCCTTTTTCCCAGGCGGGGGTCCTGGTCCTGTTTCCCTGGGAATGAGGCTTGAGCATGAGCTCTCTGGGACCCAGCCCCCGACCAGAACCACGCGGTGCATTCAGGCTCGCGGGAGGAACTGGAGCACCAGGGAGCCAAGGCTGCAACTTTGAAGATTTGCCACTGCTGACATCATGGCCACCCACCTGGGGCCAGAAAGAGCCCCTCCGCTGCCCCCAGAGCATGGGTGAAGAGACGAACGCTTAGCCTACTGCCGCCTCTCATGCCAGGCCCAGCTGATGGGAATAGTTTGCTGAGATATTTCTAGAGCCAGCAGCAATTAAAGCAGATTTTGTCTTCCACTCCCCTTCCCCAAAACAAGAATAAATCAGTTCTACCAATTTCCCAGCTAATGATTTCCTCCATTAAATTAAAAAGAAGAAGAAAATGTTTTCTTAAATGGATTACCAGCCCTGTGCTTTCAGAGATCATGTGACCTGTCAACTCCTTTTAAGGTCTGATACATCAAAGTCCCTGAATTAATTTTTAATAAATAAAAAAGTCATAGTCTAAGAAGCACCACCCCACATACCCCCCTTCCCCATCAAAGGTCAGCTCTGAGCTGATTCTGGGAAGCCAGCTTAATCAGGCCAAGTACGGCTCTTAATAGAGCACCAGATCCATTCCACAGATGGGAGAGATGAGGCTGAGAGATGTCAGGTGCCCAAGCATAGAAATCAGGCCCTGAGATGAACCTAGAGTTGTGGCATGCACCGTGGAGTCCTACATGTGGAACTGAGTCCTTGATTTTGAGAGGCGCCTGTCTGGAGAGATGCAAACAGGTAGATCCAGGAGCTGAGGAGTAACTCAGTAGGTGTGAGCTAGCGCCATCTGCGTGACCCAGATGCAGGCTCCTGGGCAGGACCTGGGCTTCTCTTCCTCTTTTGCTCCCTGGCAACACCTGGTACAGGGTCAGCACACAGTGCTGACATCCCTTTGCTTCAAAAAGTCCACCCCCTACAACATAGACAAACCTCAAAAACATGATGCTGAGCAAAAGAAGCCAGACACAAAAGGCCACATATTGCAAGACTCCATTCCTATGAAACATCGAGAAGACGCAAATCCATAGAGACAGAGTATGGCAGGGGCTACTGGGGGTGAGGAAAAGGGTTGGGAGTTGTTAGTTAATGGGTGCAGTTTCTGTTTGAGATGATAAATAAAATTCTGGAAATGGATAGGGGTGATGGTTGCACCCATTGTAAATGTACTTATGCCAATGAACTATACACATAAAAGTGGTTAACACAGTAAATTTTATGTTATGTATATCTTACCACAACAACAACAACAAAAAAAAAATACAAGGAGAAAAAAGCCCACTCTCCAGAATGCAACTTGAAGATACAGGATGGCCAACAACTCCATAGGGACGATGGTGGGACCCTCTGCAAACTGCACCCAGCCAGACTCAATGCTTAAAGCACAGCTCAGAGGCTCACAGGGCCTGTCTTGTCATGTAGGAAACACTAGGGACCTTCAGAGGAGGGCTCTTTGTGTGAGCCAGCATGACTGAGCCAGGATGCCCTGTCTCCCTGGCAGCCAGCCAGATGCCACAGGGCAGGCAGGGGCTGAGAAGTCTCCATGAACACCTCCCTGGAAGGCACCTCCTGGTCTCTGCATTCACTGCACCCTCTTCCTGAAATGCACTTCCCAGAATTCCGTAACTTGCTTCCTACGTTTATTTAGGTTTTCACAGGGAGGTCCTCTCTGACCATCTACAGTCGGAAAAATACAGGGAAGGTTGCTGGAGCCAGGCAAGGTAGCCGTGAGCAAGAAAAGGAAAGCCAGGGCCCCAACACTATGACATGCCAGCACCTTCACGCTCCCTGGCTCCAGAAAAGCAGCTTGCAGGGGGCATCAGGTCCGGGCTCCATCATTTACCAGCTAGGGGGCCTTGGCCAGTTTCTTCAACCCCCTAAACCTCGGTTTTCTCATCTACAAAATGGGGGTGAAGACAGTGTTTGTCTCTTGGGCTTTTCTGAGGACTACAATGAGATGATGTATAGTAAGTGTTTAGCATATGGCTGGGACATGGTCAAAGGTTGGTAAATGGTAACGATACATGGATTATAATGGAAGTACAACATTAATCCCATAGGCTGGCCAGGATGTGTGGGTCAGCGATCCTGAAGGCAGGAGAAGGGGCCAGTAGGGCCAGATCACAACTACAACTACTCTTCTCAGCATGTGAATTAACTGATTGAATCATTTTGTCCCCGTGTTGCATATGAGGAAACTGAAGCACAGAGAGGATAGTGACTTGCCCCAGGACACACAGCCAAGAGATGGTGGAGCCCAGATTCAAATTCTAGTCATCTGGCTACAGGCCTGAGCTGGCCACCACTGTTCCATAGGGTGTCTCAGGGAAGTGTGGAAGGAGGCTCAGAGAAGAGTCTCTGGCATGCAGAGGCAGACCCACAGCCGGCTTGCACAGCTCTGACTTCTGGACGTGAGTCTCTGGAGGTCCTAGGGAAAGGTTTCAGAGCAGGTCCCTCAGGGAAGCCCACAGAATGGTTGGACTGGCCTGGTTCTGCTCAAGGTTATTCTCAGGCCCAAGACCTTGGTACTCAGTTCTGCTCAGCCCAGCCACGTTGATTAGCACCCAAGGGTGCAATTAACTCCTCCAGAACCAAGACTAGGGCACTAAAGGGAATTTGTATCTCCATGTTCTCGCTTACGAGGCTTTCCTTAGATACCGTCAGAGAGACTGGAGACAACTAGAGACCCAAATCCTTCTAGGGACTAGAAATAGCAGGCCCTGTACACTCGCGGGAGACTCTGTGTGTCCTGCTGAAGGGCAAGCTGCTTCCAACTCCTTCTCAAAGGGAATGAATTTCCCTCAATGCAACTTTTTTTTTTTTTTTTTTTGAGACAGGGTCTCACTCTGTTGCCCAGACTGGTGGAGTGCAGTGGCGCGATCTCGGCTCACCAGCAACCTCCACCTCCCAGGCTCAAGCAATTATCCTGCCTCAGCCTCCCGAGTAGCGGGGATTACAGGCGCATGCCACTACCGTCCGGCTAATTTTTTTAGTAGAGACAGGGTTTTGCTATGTTGGCCAGGCTCCTGACCTCAAATGATCTACCAACTTTGGCCTCCCAAAGTGCTGGGATTACAGGAGTGAGCCACTGCGCCTAGCGCTCAATGCAACTTTCTAAAAAATGCCTACTACAAACCTCTTAACTAATGACTCTCTTAGGCTACTGCAATACAGAATTTCTTTTTTTCTTTCTTTTTTTTTTTTTTTTTTTTAGAGACAGGGTCTCGCTCTGTCACCCAGGCTGGAGCACAATGGCACAATCACAGCTCACTGGAGCCTCAAACTCCTGAGCTCAGGCAATCCTCCCATCTCAGCCTCCCAAGTAGCTGGGATTACAAGTGTGCACCACCATCCCTGGGCAATTTTAAAATTTTTTGCAGAGACAGGGTCTCGCTATGTTGCCCAGGCTGGCCTCAAACTGCTAGACTCAAGCGATCCTCTGGCCTTGGCCTCCCACAGTGCTGGGAGCTACCACGCCCAGCCAGCAATACAGAATTTCTAACTAGTCTCCCTCCTTTCCACTCCAGCCTCTACAAGGTGGCCCAAGTGAGCATGTTAAAATAAAAACACAAATGAGATTGTGTTACTCTCTACCTCAGAATCCTCCAAGAACTCTGTTCACACTTTGCATTAAGTCCAGCGTCTTTACAATGACCTGCAAGTCCTCCAAGGTTGAGCCCCTGACTCTCTCTCCATCATTTCCAATCACCTTTCCTCTCTTGTTCTGTTCCAACCACACTGCCTTCCTTGTTTGCCTCAAACTTGCCAGGACACTTCAACCTCAGGGCCTTTGCACCTGCTATTTCCTCTTTCCCAGATATTACATGACTTGCTTTCTAAATTTATTTAAGTTTCTACAAAGAGGTCCTTTCTGACTATCCAAGCTCTCGCCACCCCACCACCCCACACCTCTCTCTTCCCTCCCTTTGCTTACTTTTCTTCCTCGCATTTAGCACCACCAAAGAGTGTATTTTAGGAAGGAATTTCATTTGGTTCACTGATGAATCTGTGCTTAGAACAACACCTGACACATGAGTGGTGTTCAAAACCTCTGCTGATGGCTTTAGAAGTGAGAATGATTCGTGGAAGGTAGTGACTGGACGTGGAGGGGTGTGGAGGTGGCAGGAGGGTGGTGTGGGGCTTTTGAGAATTGGTGAAAGAAGAAAAACTTTGAATAAATGAATATGAAATAAGTTAAAATGGTAATCAAAGATCTTCCCTGCTCCCCCCAAAATATCCCCAGGCCCAGAGAGTTTTATAGGTGGTGCTAGCAAACTTTCAAGAAGTTCAGAAGGAAAGGTCACTCTTTGTTGGGGGAAGGGGGACAAATAAAACAAAAAACAGGCATATCTTCATGATCAAGATGCCATCTGAGTAGGCGCTAAAGTAAGATTTGAAGCCACGACAGCAACAACTTGGAATCCCCCAGGGAACCATGTGTATGTCTCCTTTGCACTAATGTTGCCACCTCCAGAAATGCCCTTCTCCACCTTGCCTCTGGTCTGAACCCTCTGTTCTCCTTACTAAACCTGCTCTATTACTCTGGACATCCAAGCACACAGTGAGTACTGCATAAATGTTAGCTGCTGTTGGGCTTACTTGCTTACAAGTCCGAGTCTCCGGCTAATTTGTATCCCCAGTGCCTGACACCATAGCAGGTATACAAAAAAATGATAGAGGAAATGAACAAGGCACACAAAAAGCCTAGCAAAAGCTACATATTTACTCTAAAAAAAGCTTTCGGGCACAGCTGCTGTAGGCATGCAAACCAAGGCATCCAGGCTGCGCAGCCCTGAGCCCACCCTCAAACCCTTGGCCCCATGAAATTAGGCAATAGGGGCCCTAGGTGAGCCAGAGGGCACTGAACTGTGCCTCAAAATTAGCGCTTCCTGATATGAGCAAGGAGGTGACAGCAGCCAGAAATCGCTACCCTCCCTGCACCCAATGAAGCTGACAGAAAGTTCTGGGTGACTCAAGGCTCTAAAATGTAACATTTGTCTGGCTGTTTACTTCCCCTTTATGCAGCTCAACTTCTTAGATCCTTCTTCCTACTAGTGGGAGATGGATCCCAGTGGTGAGAAAAAAGCAAACCAAGTCCTAGAGTCTCAGGGGTCTTTAAAGCTGAGCCGAGGGAAGACAGAGATGAAAAAAGATGGAGGAAGTAGAGAACAGAATTTTTCCTCCCATACTTACACAAAAAAGGATCTCGAATACCCCTGCTTCATCCCCAACTATCACCACTCATGCCAACAAAGTCAGAGAAACCCCTAGATTAGCTACTGCTCTAAGAACTGAC